AGGGAAAGAAAAGATCTCTCAGAGGCTGAGGGCAATTTCATAGTGAAGCAGTGAAATTTTAGCTAATATCTAGTGATAGTATTCCCAGAAATACTTAATTTTAGGTAAAGTAAAAGCTGTTTGTTTGAGTGGCTGGGAAGAAAGGTATTATGCCAAAAGTCTTTATAGGAAAAGGGGAATGATGTGTCTGATCTTTAAAATCCTAAGAGAACAGTAACAAACTGAATGGGTGCAAATCAAGTGTAATCAATTTTTCAGTTAATAATTAATGTGTATGGGAAATTAAGTTTGCTGTTGTTTAACAATATGAATGGAAAAAAAGGACATAAAACCTTTAGCATCCTAGGTGTTGATCTGAATTAATTTGCTCATTCTTGGAACATAATTATTCCCCTTATGCTAATACATTTTGTTCACATGGTTTTTATATCATAAATACAATGCATTAGACTCTCTTCACTTTCTAGTACTAAATATGCAATTAAAGTATAATTAGTCTGCAGTTGCATACTTTTTTAATTTATATTAGTGAGTGGTTGCTGTAAATTGGCTGTAATTGTATGTGAAATCACTTGTTTTATTTAAAAACAACAATATATAATTAAATGCAACTGAAGTTTTCCACATTTCTTCCGCTCACTAAATGTTCAAACCAGATCAGCCTTTGGGTAGAGCACTTCTGCGAGGGTAACACAGAATGGACCAGAGATGAGAAAACCTCAGAAGCAGTGCATTAGAAAAGCTACCAGCTCAAGAGATTTTCTGGATAGCCTCCATTCCAATGTTGCTGACAATGGGTGAAAAATGTCATTGCTTGTGAAATCCCCACAGCTGATGAATACAGCCGATAACACCATCTATTCCAAGAGAATAGATTCCCAATAAAAACCCCAGCCTGATACTTTTACTTAAACCTTCATTCTGCCTTAGAAGAGGGAGGAAAATCAAGGATGTATAGGATGTAAAGAAAGGCTGAGTGAATATTCTCATGCATCTAAGCATCAAAGTTACAGGATCACAATTAGGTATAGTACAAATCTGTTTCTTCAGAGCAATAAATGTATCATTAATTATTTGCTACCTACAGTATAGTTCGTACATGCAAATAAGGCATGTAATTAACTATTATTTAATAATGTTAGAAGAAAGCAGATAACAAAATACCGTATACTGAAACCAGTGTGTGCTGGAAGATCTCATAATATAGCTTATACAGTACTAAACTTTTGACTGGCAACCCTTTCAATTTCATCCTATGTTTATGGCAAACCATACAAAAAATCCATATTAAAAACAGACTCTTGAGTTTGCAAAGTCAAGCACAACAGAACAAAACAAAACAAAAGACAAAGTCAACAAAATTATTCTTTAGCCACACATTTCCTAGTAAGGAATGGCCTTGAAGAGGGCTATACCAGTCATATTTTTCCATTATATATATATAATACTTTGTTTTGATAGTGAAAGCCTAATACGAATTTTACAATACAGAAACAGAAGGGCCCATACAACCAGCAACAAATGTCTGCCAATGCATTTTTTTCTTCTTATGACCTCTACAAATGAGGTTGAGATTGGAAATGGATCTTTTTAACAGATGGAAGCATGCTATTTCCTGGAACTTCAAAATCCATCTAGTGTGTTAGCCATGCACTCTCATTCATATGTGGCTTATGAAAGCAAATGACAGTTCGCATTGCAACTTGTGCATATTCATTCACTGAAACAGTTCAATTTGTAAGCCTGGAAGGTACTTTTGATCTAATACTACTACCTTGTACCAGTGATACTCAGAAGTACTTTGCAAACGTTAACAAAGGACAGGCTTGCTATTGCTTCATAGTTTGAGAATCCTGTAATTTATTTTCCAAAGGAGTGGGGAAGCTGGGCAAAAAGAGCTGTTACAGACCTTTTTGTAATAGGGCACTTATATCCATATGCACTAAACAGTAGATAGGTGTGGATTTGGATGTTCATGCTAAGTAGCTAGGTTTCTGGGGGCACAAGGAAACATTTCAAAAGTCCGAGAAATGTTAAGGTGATTCAATCACATTTCAAGGGTATGCTTGATAAAGTAACTGCAGCAGAGAACTGTGAGTTACAAAACAGGCTCTTGTTTCAAAATCACAGTCCTCTATTTGATTTGGGCTAATGACAAAAGACAAAATATGAGTGATTTGTGACGAGTTTGAAAAACAGACATTTAATGACAGCTCTATGGATTCATTTGCCTTCAGTAAGGGTTACGTATCGATAGACCTTTTTTTCAAGACTTCATATGTTTCATTCCTCCTCATAAAGCTTTGGCCCTACCTCACATTTAATATCAAGACTGAAGAGCATTGAATTTTTCCCTTAACTTTATTTTAGGCACCATGGTATAAAAAGTGTTAGTCTAAACTGCACTGGAGCAATTTATAATTCTAGGTCCTCAGGTCTGTCCTTCGGCAAACATCTCTAGCTCATTTTATTAATTAAACAGAACATTTCCCAGTACACTTAAATGGCTCGAAAGTTTCAAATGTCTTTGATAACTACCAGACTCTAAAGCTTTTAATTCTTTCATACTTTTATCTCACTGTGACTAATGAGAATTGCATTTGTGATAATTCTTGTACTTAGGACCTCCCATTAGAAAGAAATAAACAAGTTGGAAAGTCATTTCACGCAATAGCATTTGAAATATAATTCTGTATTTTATGTTTTCCCACTGCTTTTAATGATTTCAGCGGGATGCTTTTGGTGTTAAAATGAAGACCTAGACAATAAGTGTTAAAAACTGTAATTAAAACTAAGAGTGTTTGGAAACCTTTCATATGTAAATTGAGCGTTTCACTTGCTTCAAATAATCTTAAAGTTAGGACTAGAAAAATAGGTAAAGGAAAAATACTTAAGAACATGGCATACATTTCTGAAAATGTCAGAGTTCTTCATTTAAACATTATTTTAACATTAAACAGACAACATCTATGTAGTGTAAATACAGCTTTTCCAACTATTTCTGAGTTTTAAGCAATCCAGTATGGGATGCTGAGCTTTCAACAACAAAGCAACATCTGACTGAATGTAGCAAGACGTACTCCCTTTTTAAGCACTGTTCCCATCTCCAGAGCACCTGTTGCTTTCCCATGACAGTGAGTAACTTAAGTTCATTTTGAAAGGAGAGTGAGTGAAGAAAGATGTTTAAAGGCTCCCAGAAGCATCTGACTGACATGCTGGGGCTGGTTAGGAGTGCAATGTCCAACCACCCTCCTGAAGCTCCGCTCAAATAAGCCAAAATTCCTGGGCATCTGCAGCAAACTAAGCAACTACAATGAGAAGTAAGGTACAACAAATCCTGTTAATACTGTTTAAACCTGTATTTGTACACACCTGCTGCTCTGTAATAAACCAGGGCTGGAACACATTTTCTGGAGAGGTTTGACTCTTTATTCCTCAACGAACGTTCTGGCCCTTCCTTAGAATCCGACCAAGACTAGGATTCATCACAACTAGTGCTCCAACGTGGAGCCAGAATATTTTGTGTGTGTGGAAAAATCAAAAATTGTCATCAGGCACAGCAGAAACCTCCTTTCTCTACTTCTCCATTCGGACTTGAGGAGTTTTACACGTTTGCCTAAGAAACAAACACATGTCAAGCACTACACTCTTATGGAATTAGTTGCAGAAAACAAAACTGGGATAGATGGAATTTTCTTTAACTTACAAGGAAAAGTATGAAATTACAGGAAAAAACATACTTCAGAATCAGAGCAACTTCTTTTAGTGCATGAGTATGGTCTCAAAAACATCCCCAAGCAATAACAGTAACCCCGAAGGAAATGTTTAAACATACTGAAGTTAATATTCATTGATTGTCACCAAAAAACCAACAGAAACTGATAGATAGCACTAATTTTTGTAAGTTTATCAGCAATCTTTAACTATGATAAAACAGTAACTGAAAAGTTCTTTGAAAATAAGTCCATGGATAGACCTGTGGTACAGAAAAGAGCCATGAAATCAGAATACAATTCCTTCTAAATGAAAGATTTGAGTGTGTTCTTCCCATATGTTTAAAGTTTAAAAACCCAAACAAACAAGCAAACAATCAAAAGTTTAAAGTTTGAAAAATGTGAGCATTCTGAGGAGAGATCTGCTTACAGTCATTTCTATGGTTAGTAGTTTTTCATTTACAGACAACAGTTTTATATTAAATGAAGACTTAAACCTTATTTTACTTTCTGTAACAGATAATAAATGTAGCAATTCAGACAAGGATATATCCTCTTGAGGTTTTTGTGGTGATCGCAACTCCACAGTGGGACTGCAGCATGGCGGCACAAAAGACTGCAAGACAATTAATCAAATAAATGCAATTTTATTTTCTTTTACATCATTTATTCCATCTAGTTGTCTTAAGTTGGACATAAAAACAACATCCTTCCTTTTTAAAGATGAGGAAACTGAAGCATAATAGAATCAAGAGGGATAGGAACAGAGTTCGTCTGTCTTTGGCTTTACCTGACCTCACTTACCTAAAGAAAAATCTACTGTTGTTCTTGATTAGAAAGGAAAACTTACAACAAGTAGTTTCCTGAGTTTAATATTCTAAAAATGAAAAAGAAAAGAAAAAAACCCAGCCTTGTTGCCTTGTTTTAAAACTAGGATGAGATTTTAAATTGCCTAATAGGTATAATAGTTTTTCATCTTTTAATATATTTTTTCAGAAATTTTATAAGACTGAACTTCGAATTATCCCCACTATAAAAACAGGTAGTCTAAATTAATCATATTTGATATTTTTTTCTTCTTCAGATGTTTATAGTGTGCTATTTTTTTTCTGGGATTTTGAATAGAGATTAACAAGTCATCTGGAGGAGATCAAAGTAGAAATGTAAATTATTTCCTTACCTGTAATTTTATCTTCTCTATGAGGGTACCTGCTGTTCTGCTAGTGCAGTACTGATGTGTTTTCTGCCTTTGTCCCAAGCTTCAGAGATTCCTCTGGTGATTTTGCTTACCAGCTCCCTCTGCTGGCACTTTGAGGTAGTGCACTCACATTTGGCTCCAGGATTACTGCCACAGCTGAGGGAATATAAGACAACTAAAAAACAAGTTAGAAAACAGCAGAGCAATATCCAGGCAGGAAAAAAAAATGTTTAAAAGACAATGAGTCAGCATAAACTTGAAACCTTTCGATCATTTTTCTCTCTTTTTCATCCATTTAGAATCTCCACCTGAAGAAAAGACTTTCCCATGCTTAGAGAGATCTTAGCCAAAGTAGTGGGTGCTGACAGAGTAGTGGGTACCCATTTAGAGAATATAAAATTATTTTAAGGTAAATTAATTTTAACTTTCTCCAGTATGAATACCCATCACACCATCACTCTAATACAGATAAGAAACAGAAGAAAGGTGGCAGATTTCAAGGATGTCAGAAGAATCCCTGTCATCCTGTCTCAGTGCTTAATAGAACCAGCAAAAAGGAAGACTCAAGGGCTTTTCACCTAAAAGATGTCATAGATGAACAATTAGAAGGATTCCTCACTGCCCAGTGAAAAATAGATAAAGTCGGGTTCACTAAAAAGTAGTCAAGATAATGGTTGTTGATTCACAACTAATAGTTGTAGTTATCTTGGTCATCAGAGAAAAAACAAAGGAAAAGAGAAACTAGTAGTGTCAATTTAATAAGTAAACAAATTAAACACAAAACAGAGAGCATATCAACCATCCATGCTTGAAGTTGCATGTAGACGATAAAATTTCACTGTCTTTCTCTTGCGCTTTTTACATGTTATGGTCATAAGTTCCTGGGGCATTCTCGGAACAAGATAGCATAAAACACTGGTATTAATTCCAGATATCCAGATAATGATGGCATTGATGCCTTTCCCTGGCATTTTCCCTGACCCATGACAAACTAATGCACGTTATCAGCATCATTCTTGAACTAATTAGAAATGTCGTCTTGCTTGAGGATTATGGAGATTTCCAGGTGAAAGTTATGACTTCCTATATCTTCTCTGTACTGGGGATCATCTTGATACTTTTTTGAACTTCACAGTATACAGAAAAGATGTATTCTGTCAAACAAAAAAATGAATTCTAAAAATTTAACTAAGAACCTGCTTTGGTATTCAATTGAATTTATCTTTCTTAAAGAATCTGGCCAGTTGTCTTCACATCTGCATCTTCTCATTATCCTCTGACTAGTATGTGACACAAGACAAAGGTAAGTATGAATGAATCAGAGTAGATAATCACAATTAGACACTAGTATTCTAAAATCTCAAGTAGTGAAGGAAAGACCAAAAGGCTTTGAAGAGGTTGTTGCCTTCAAATATCAGGAATGTAAGTACCAATTACATGCTTTAAGGTCAAGAGAGAGAAAAAGGACTCTGGTAACTTCTTGAATGACCCTCCAAAAAGAAATTCGCCTTGCAAATAATCAGCTTCAAAACTGCCAAGTTGCATTCTAGGAGAAAGTCTCCTGTTCCGTCTTCATACTTTAAAAATGTTGAATAATTATTAACAACTGGAATTAGAATGATGCCCTCAAGATCATAAATTTGCTATGCTCTTGTTTTTCATGGTCACTCCAAAAAATGTGCAGGAAAAGGATCTCAGAATTCTAGGACGACAACTACTCTGATTTTTCAGTGCATTTGCCTGCATTGGTAACAGCACAAGCAGAGGTAAAGTCCTTCAGTCATCTTTTGGCAGGGACATGTTTCTGAGCCACAAAGCTTGGGTTCAAGATGAAGGAACAAGGTTTTGTTCTTCTGGCTGGCACCAGTAAGATATTTTCTGGCAGTCTGGACCCTGAGAAGGCAAAGCTGTTTTGGACCTTTTAAAATATGCAGCTCCATTAAAATTATCAAATCTTCTATTACTACTGAGTTTGTAGACACTTTTTAGTTAGACACAATCCCTTGTTTCCTTGAGATCATATCCATCTTCATAAACTGGAGACACACTTGTGTTCACTTCTGCTTTTAGAGGTCTTGCCAATATAATTCTACAGGTCATATCATACAAGTAAGTCATGGGGAACTGGGTATTTTGTAGCTTCACCCAGAATCTCCACTTCAGAACTCTATGATGTTTCTCACTGCAGATTTGGAAGGGGATTAACGATAGTCAGGACTGTAAGATCTGAGAAGGAATCATCTGTGTATGCTAATAATGCAGTAGAAGAAAGCTCAATGTCAATTTTGCAGAGCATATAATTTCCTTTGGAGTCTTTTCTCCATACACAGCAGTAAAGTGTGAACCTGGTGATGATGATGAACCCGGTGTTCACCAAGGTGGAAAAAGGAGTAAACTACAAGCTATGAAAGAGAATGAACAATTTTGAAATTCTTATGGAAGTTAATTTAATGTTGGTTCTCATCTTTTTAATTTAGTCCTAGACATCAATCTTCCACTTATTCTTGCCTGAAATACATTTTTTCTTCATTTTGAACAGTTCTAAGACAGGACAGGACTATCTTCATTATTCTTATGGAGAAATAAGTAAGATTTACAGCCATGCTCACTTTGCTTTGCAAGGCAATAATATCTGAGTAATTTGACTTCAACTGGTTTAAGAGTTGTCCACTCCTCCAATGGTGACTGTGCATAACACTCTATATGACTGACTTTCTCCACTGACTTTCTCCACTTGATATTGATTATTATCCATATCCTTTCTTACCTATTACAAGGTAAAAAAGCAGAGCTGTGACAGGGCAGTACTACTAAGGTTTTCTACAAACGGTCCTAATGAGTAAGGAAATACTGCAAGGTATGGGGATTTTGGAGAAATGGATATAATACCTTTTGGACAGTTGGGGGCCACTTTTCCACGCCCTTACATTGGTTCTGCAAGTAAGCAGTGATGCACAGTTTTTGAAGCCTGTGCAAAATACCCACAGAAAGGGGCAAGAGTTCTGCCTCCAGCTATTTAGGTAGTAGGTAATGTGAGGTTTCAGAACACTCCAGTCCCTCTGAGCTGAAATGCATCGTTTCTGACTTGCAGAAATGATCCAAAGAAGCACTTACAGACTGCAAAGGAGGGTCAGACAAGGTAAAAGCACTAGTTTTAGAGCATGCTAGAATGACTCACGATACTGGCATTTGAATATCATCTTCCCACATGGTAACTTGTGAGGTAGTAGAAGCTGACAAAGATTTTCCAGGAAAACTAAAAAGGACTGCTAGATATTCAAAGACCCTTCTTGCACAGTTGTGAAAGCACAAAGAGACTGGCAGAATGGAGCTGCAAATGAGAGTGGAAACATCTTTGATTTCGGTGTCAGGAATTTTCCACTTTGTGGACAAGTGGAGAAAACCAGTGTTTTACATACAGCCTTCAGAACTCATTCTTATTTTCCATCACAGAGGCAGAAAATTATTCTTCAGACATGAGGTCAATACCTCAAGCATGTCAGCAAAGGACAAATTGGGGAAAAACAGAAAAGAAAGAAAAATAAATCACAAGTTGAATCCTTTGGGACAAAGGCAGAAAACCTCTTGGCTGGACTGATGGAGTAGAGGATTCCAACGTGAAAGAAAGTAATGCGTGCAAAAATCACTGATTAGTTAATTAATGACATGCAACTGAAATACATTTGCATTTTTCTTTAAATATTG